CTCTTAATCAACTCTAGTGCAAAAAACTTGATCTCTGCCTGGATGACCTGCTAAATCTACTGGGAAATGTGATTTGTCTCCCACATATGAAAAAAAATGAGCCATGCTGGCTTCTAAAAAGGTTGTTTAGTTTCCATGGATCTCGTACTATTTTCATTGTTCTTTGGTCATAAATTCCCTTGCTTTTAAAATAATATTACCGAGTTAAATTTAATGAGTTTTCATTTGTTTTACTACTCCATTATTTTCTGACATGTTTTACATGTTTGAAAACCAAAACTGTTACTAGCTTTTCTTTTCAGCAAATAATATGGGAGCAGACAACAGACCTCAATCAATGTAATAATTCTTTAAAGAATGTAAATTAATTCGAAGGAGGTGGGAGAGGGCACATGTATCTGTAACACGCATTTTAAAATGTTTCTGCATTTGCATTTGTTTTTAATGGCGTTTCCGCCCTCTAGTGTCAGAAAACTCTATCACAGAGAGGGTTTTTTTTTTTAATCCTGGCAATTTTTTTCTTTTCCTGTATTCCCGCTACATATATTCTACAATTTCGCAGTTTTGGTATAGAGGTCACCTGGGGGGGGGTTTCAACCCAAAGTGAGCTATTCCATGTATTAATTTCTGATGTAACCCACACAAAAATATTGCTAAATTACAATTTCTGTCATTCATTATTTTAACCTCCACAATACACTTTTTTTTCACTTGGAAAAAGAATTACTCCTGTCCAAACTAAGAAAAAAAAATTTAAAAAGCAGCATTGTCCCTCTCATTTGTTAAGATCATTAAAGACATTCCTTATCTGCTCACATCAAGGAAAAGTGGCCAAAAAGTATGATTTATTTCAGTTATACTTAAGACCTTTCACTTATGAAATATTGCAACTTAGAGCCATCAAAAAGTGGTTTTCCTTAGATTCAGGAAGAAGATGAATAGCTGATGATGCCACAAATACAGACTGTGTTGTCTGATATTTCTAGAATTAAGGATATGCAACATTGGATGTATTCCACTCACCAGTTAAGAAAGCAGTATTGCCTTGGCAAGTCAATGTCCATGGGAAGGCTCTGACATGGCAATGCTGAGATTACAGATAGAGCCTTTGTAAAACCAAACACATTCAACCAAGCTCCTGCAACAGCTCAGTTTTCTGTGTGTGATTTGAGCTGCACTTTGTGCCCCCTCATCTGTTATGCAAAGCGCTACATCACTCCTATTTTACTTGCATCGATACCCTGAAAGATCCAGTATATGCAAAAGGAAGGAATTCACTGGCTTGCTGTCTTGCCATGCAGTGAGGAGTCAACTGTGCAAAAGTACTCTGTCACCTGTTAAATACAAACAATTGAGACAAACATACATGCCTTTAAATCTACCCATCCAATCCATCCATCTCTCCCGGTATGATGTCATTTAGTGAACCGATACCTGTGGACTGAAAGCAATAGCGCATGTCTGGCCTGCCTGGACTACATCCAGTGAAAGCTAGGCATTAGTTTTATCATGTTGTTTCTGACTTGTGATTTGATAAAACTTGATTGACAGATCTAGTTTGCCATAGCCTTTTCCTTTCCTATTTTGGCTACTGAAGTAGAATGCACTTGACTGATATCAGGGATCAGTATGACATCTCTTTTTCTTCACTCATCCACTACTAAAATAGTGGGATGACACTTTTGATGTTATAAAATTAGATTGTCAGTACAAATCATAAATGCCCAAAGACTGGCTTGAGCTTTGGCCACAATAATAGACAAATGTGGAATAGACTGTATGCAAAGCTAAGACTGCAACTAGGGAAAAAAACAAATAAAGGAGAATGTGCTTGCAGTTCCAGCCTGAAGAGCAGTGAGACAAACAGAATAACACTAGATAAAACCTCTAAATAGTTCCCTTTTGAAAAGGGTGTCTGTGAAAATTGCTTAATAAGATTCCACATTTGTTGTGTCTCTATGACTGAAGAAATCAGATTTTCTACAGAATTTAAAATTTATTTAAGAGGTCAAGTATAATTTTTCCTCTTTGAAGTAAAAGCACCACAAAGCTTCCCTGCCATCTGAAAATGTAGTTACATTCTTTTTTAGTTTAGACTTTCCAGGAATAAAGCAATTGCAGTCAGGGTAAAGGAGGGAATTTTCCCTTGATTTTTTGTTATCCACTTCCACTGGTGGTGTTCAGTGATACATGAGGTATAACTAAGGGTAATGTTTAATGCAGGATGAGGAACTTCATTAACAATTCTGATCATGCCTGCAGTAGACTAAAATCTGTATCACTGTCCCAGAGGAGAGCAAGGCCAACCAGGGTAAATGAAGCAAAAACTCTGTTTTGTCACAAAAGTAAGCAAATATATCTCTCACCCTGTGCAGGACAGCTAATTTCTTTGAAGTAATTTTTTCTGACCATAATTTTATTTAAATATCTCCAACACAGTGGTTAGCAACAGGAGAAAAACTAATTATGTAAGAACTAATAATGATGTGAAAGATATTATTAACACTGAACAATAGACAAGCAACATTACCTTTGGAAAATGTCATGGTATTAAACTTATGCAAGCTGAAATAGAAAAATAGCCAAAAGCAAGTTATTTTAAAATAAGCAGTATATCCACCTACCCGTAATTTTGTCTGGAAGGTGAGAAAATCATTGCAAAATACCTTCATGTGTCAGACAATCATAATTTTTTTATTTCACTTTGTAACACTGAAATATTGCGAAGAGGCATCTGCTTATGACAGGGGGAAGTCAGCACATAAACACTGAAATGCTAGAGATAGATCAGCTAATGGTTCCTGCCACAACTACTTAAGCTTCAGCCTGCACTTGATTCATGTAATTATAGTGTCACATTATCAACAGGATGAACTATGTTCCTGAGCAACTTCAAACCAAATTAATTAGAGCCAGGAATGCCTTCTGTCCACAGCAGCCGTTGGTGACAGTGTGAGCTTATGGACGTTCAGCAATTTAGCATTTCAAGTGATAAGCATCTAAATATTTAGGAAGGTTTAGAAATCTCATTCAAGAGGTCTTTTCCCCAGAGCTTGCCACCCTGGCCCCATGCCCACTGCTTTTCCTATCATTCTGCCTGAAAAAAAAGATGGGGTTAGCTAGGTGTTGGGGATCCCATTTGTCAAAGAGACCTTGAAAGGTCATTTATCCACTTCTTTACCCAAAGGAAAGAACAGCTGGACATGCATCACTCCTGAGAGTTGATAGTGAGCTGTGGCTTTAGGAAGAGATAAGCATCAAGAATGGTTATGTTGTGAGGTGCAAATGTTGATGTGAAAGAAAGCATGACTCTCCTTCTAGTATTTTTCCAGTTTTATATATCTTATCATTAAGACAACCTATGTTACTAATTTAAAAGATGGATTCTACTAAATTGTGTATTTTTTATCCAATCCTGCATGTCACAAAATGAGAAGCTAATGGCATTCAAATTCTGAGTGTATGGGGTTTATTGGCAGAAATATTAATGTTGGGTTTTTTTTCCTGTGAATATATTACACTTGGGCATGCTTGGTAAAGCAATTAAACATTTATTTTACAGAGCATAATCTATGACAATAGTCTAAGACTTGGTCATCTATATTACATCTGCCTGAATGACAACTTATTTGAATATTTATGTTAAACACTTTCCTCTTATCTTACAAAATGCAAACCATTCATCTTCACCTACAAGGCCATACATAACCCCCTTCTGACATGAGCCGAGCTCTCATTGCTAGATGGCATCCTCTAACCTCCTACAAATTCTCTATCATCTGTTGTCCTCACCCTTTTATCCTGTCCTTCTTATTATTAGGTGCAAAATTTGGACCATGTGACCTGAAGACTCCCCCCTTCTTCTCTATTATTTTTCCAGTTTCTGCTAAACAGACAAATTTTGTTTTCCAGATAGTATTTTCCAAACACTGTCCCTTCTGCAATTTTATTTCTTTACTTTTCTTGTGTTAACAGCTTATTAATTCTTTGTAGTAGGGAATGTGCTGTCTCCCTGCTCACAAACATATTAAACTCACAATCTACAATCAATGTTTAATAATAACTTAAAATCCAGTAAAGTTAGAAAACAAATGGTCCTTGAAAGTATTTTATCTCTTTATTAAATTCTGTAGTATGTAATTACATACTAGTGCCCTATAGAATATGGCAAAATGCAAAGAGCTGGTATCTGTTAATAAGTTGGCACTGGAGTGACTTTATATACTTCACTATCACTTTGTTCTTACTTGATGGATAAAGCAATATCCAATATCATAAAGAAAGGTCGTAGCTCTAGCAATTCAGAGCACTGACAGGATTTGCAGTTAGAATTTGTTTGGTTGTCTGCTTGTAGCTTGAGTTTTTCATGTTTGCTTTCACCTACATCACAGAAGAACCTGTGGAGCTCAGCTGCTCCAGCTTCCCATGTCAACAACAAGAAGTTTGGGTCAGCCATGCTTCTGTCTAGCCAAGTGTTGAAAATCTCCAAGGACAGAAAGTTTATGATCTGAGCAACCTGTTGCAAAAACATGCCACCCTCCTAAATGAAAGTACTAGATCAACTTAAGTGAGACAACAGATTATTCAGCTTAGCATCTAATTTACCAAGTAGTCTCTCTAGGATCTTGTCAATGGAAAGTGATGAGTTCTTCCAACAAGCAAACAGAATTTCAACACTGATTTTTTTTTTTTTTCTTAGCAAGGTCATTCTATCTCCATAGCAGTAGAGGCAGCCTGAAAAGACTACAGCTTGTAAAACCTGTAATTTACCTGCCCACAGTTTGACAGACAGGAGACCCAAAATTAGCTTCAAATTAAAATTGTCTGTGCACAACAGTGGGCTTGCTGTATATGTATGCATATGTGTATAAAGTAATATTTATATGCAGCAAGTATTATTTGCATGAGAATTAAAATCTGTTGTGTGATTAATTCATCATGAAGTTCAATAATTAAATGAGATTTTGTCTATACTAAGCACTTTGTTTTCTTTAACCCAGGTATGGTGACATGGTGCCAAAGACAATAGCTGGCAAGATTTTTGGTTCAATATGCTCCCTGAGTGGGGTCTTGGTCATTGCTCTGCCAGTTCCTGTAATTGTCTCCAACTTCAGCCGTATATACCACCAGAATCAACGAGCAGACAAGCGCAGAGCACAAAAGGTGAGCTTCTCATTTTTCCCCCATATGTTGTTGAGCAATAGATAAGATATGACTTTCTATATTCTATGTGTCTCTATAGTGAGTATTTCTTAGCAAGAAGACAACTTTATGTATGTGCTACATGTCTAGCCCATGTCCTAAATGCAAATGCTGTATTATTTTTAGTGAGGGAAAAAAAAAAAAACAAACCACAAACCAAAAGCAGATCATTAATCTTTTCTTTCAAAATGTACAGGCCTATTATTGTGGTAATTCATCCTACTTGTTAAACGAGATCTAGTCTTTTCAGGCAATAGCTGCAGTCCCACCAACTGAAGATTCTTCTGTGTTTTTTCAGGCAGACTTTGTTACTACCACAATATTCTGAGGAAAAAAAAAAAAAAGCAAAAGTCCCAAACTTAGTAATGATTTCTAATGTCTCTGCTAACAGCTTGCTTCACTAATCCACGTTCAGTTTAAGTCGCTGGTTCAGTCTCTGAGGGAATTTGCTTGTTGAAGAATTTGTTTCCTCATCTCTACTTTGCTTAAAAGGCTTCAGATAAACAGCTCAATCAGGAAAAAATGAAGTTTGTTTTTCCAGCTTCCTTGATTTCCTAAGTCTCTCCCTAAAATATATGCTAGACCTACAAGAAGACTGTTTCTCTCACAGACCCATATGGTCAGGAGCCAGGAAGAAGTGTTTACCAGGAGCGATGCAGCCAAGCCTAGTCAGTCACCTTCATCTCCACCTGACTGTCAGTGCACTAGTTCTGATACACTTCTCTTAACCCTGTAATGCCAGGCAGCTCAGAAAAATTCTGTCAGCACCTGAAGCCCTGGTGTGGGAGCCAAGACACCTTACCTTCTGCTCCTCTGCAGATGGCAGTCAGAAGGCTTTGGATGCCACATAGATTGCATGATTGCCAAGGCTGAGGTGTCACCACTTGGGCTTTTTTTGATTCCCCATGGCTTCTCTTCAGAGGTTTGAGTCTCCAGTAATCCAGGGAGAGCAGGACCATTGCTGGCAGAAGTGTGCAGGCAGACTGTGGCTGGGTACGTCATATATAAACCAGGGAAGACAAGCAGCTGCAGGGTGCACCTGCTTAATATCGACAACAGCACCAGGTTTAAATATACAAAATGTTTATGTGTTTCTTTCTGGACACCTTTTCTTCATTAAAAAAAAAAAAAAAAAAAAAAAAAAAAAAAAAAAAAAAAAAAAAAAAAAAAGAAAAAAAGAAGAAGTTAAATAACTGTGTGTAGTGATACCATTCTCACCATATCTTAAAATCGGAAGAAACAGAGGTACATGTTCAAGAAAATCATCGGCCCAGACTGAAGATACAGCACCCTTTAACGGCAACATTTTGGCAAAATGCTCTCAGATGAGGAAAATGGCTATAAAAGAAACCAGACACATCACAAGAGTATCATACCTTTCTAGAAATCTGATTTAAAATATAGGTTGCTTATTTATCTACCAATTCCACCCACCCTTTTAAATGCTGTTTTGTCCCACAACCAAGTCCCAGCTGTCCATTCCTCTCTTTCAGAGCTGGGACATCATGTAATTTCTACATGATGGAGGTTTTTTATCAAGAACTTTTCCACTTCTATTTGTGTAATGGCAGCAGAGAAACAACTGAACATCTCAGCCAGGACACTCAGTGCTCCTTACTGTGCCTCTGAGCATTGTGCCATGTTGTCATGCTGCTTGACCCCAGCAATCAGTGTGCCTGCTCTGAGCATTTCATAGTAGTTGCAGACACAACCAGTCTTACTTCATATAAGTCAGAACTGTCTCCTAATGCATGCCACAAAACAGAGTTTTCTGTGCCTGCTCTACATTTGTGTCACGGTTTCACTCTGGCCAGCAGCCAACCACCACACAGCTGCTCACTCGCTGCCCCACCAGCAGAATCAGGGAGAAAACTGGAAGGGTAAAAAACAGCCCCATTTTAGCTGCTGTGAGAAAAATTAACTCTACACCAGCCAAAACCAGCACAATTTGTCAGTAAAAAAGAGATAGACGCCAGGAGAATACCTTGCAAAAATCAGACTGGTAAACTCGTTGCTATTCCCCATAATCTCTTAATGAATGGAAACTGCTGGAGTTAATAACTGACTTTTTCTCCTTGCAAAATAGTGAGCTTATTGTATGTTTCAAACAGAAACATGAAGTGATGAATGGCAATCCTGCCAAGAGGTTTTTACTCTGCTCCCCAGTACAGTGCTAACAGTAAGAATGGGAGATCTCTGACTGTGTTTATGCCCTTCTTGCTTCGGAGAAAATGGCTTTGAGGTCTGATTAACCTAGCACTGGATGTATGTTTCATTGATATCTCCTGCAAAGCTAATCTCTCTCAATCTAAAATGAATGAGATGTTAAACTAAATATTGCTTTGCTGGATTAATTAAAAAAAAAAATCAACAAAAGGAACTTCATGGGTACTGTATAGTCCATACTTTGCTATGAAATATAGCCTTGCCTCTCACAGGACAAGAATATTGTAAAAGAATATTCAAGCAAAAAGGTCACTATATTGAAGCTCAGAATTCCTTCTTCATTCAATAGAATAGAGGCTTTACACCACTTTCTAAAACAGTGTTTCCCTAGGCACCAAATTTATTTCTGTTCTCTAAGGCTGAAGAACATAAGCTTGAAAGAAGGTGCTGTTTCATGGAGTGCAGCACAAACCCCTGCAGGCAGTGGTACCTCCCACTGTCTACAACAGCTTTCATCAGCTTGAGACAGTTGTATGTTTGAATTGAATATATCATACAATATTGTATGATATAGTGTTATCATACAATATATGTATGATAAAATAGATACTCTGTACGTTATCAAAATCTCATACAGGAGTTTAATCAAGGGAGGCTTCAGAAATGGCAATACATTTGGGCTGGAAGGAAACTGAAGAGAAAGTTCTTTGCCGTAGAGTTGAAATCTAGTTCGAGGACCACTGGCAATTTTCAGCAGACAAATTTTGTCACTTATATTACGATTGTTCAAGAACCATGTGGCCACCAATATATGCACTTACTGACTTCTGCAGTTATTCAAGATTAGAAAATTCCACTTGTTTTTGTTTTGTTTTGTTTTTTTGCAAAAAGATGCACACATTAATGCTGGGGAGAAGATGGAAGAGAGAAATCTATTTATATACCATTGGATTTTGAATGCATTTTAAAGGAAGCTCTTGCTTACATTGTTATAATTACCATGAAATCCCACTTTGTAATACAGCCAATTTTGGCAGGAGAGGCCAGCTTTCTGCTGCAGTACAGGGAGCTTCTTGCAATGAAGAAACTGTTTTTAAACAAAAGCAGAGCAGAAAACAAAACAAAAACACAATCATCTGTGTTTATCAGAACGTTGTCTTCTATCAGATAATAAGGTCCAAGGATCTGACCTACCCTGACAATAAATGAATAAATAATCCAAAATAGAAATTGGAATTCAGGGCAGAACTAATTATGCCCTGTAGTCTTACTGTACCTTCTTCTCAAGCAGATTTATCACTAGTGAGACAGTTTTGAAGAATCCTATTTGTGGAGCTTTTCTCAGCTAGAGGCAACTTCAAGAGGCCAAGTTATTTTGGTTGCCCATCAGTGCCTGCAGGTGATAAAGTTAATGACAGGTGTGTTGCAACTGGTTATGTACAAAAGCAAGGAAAGGAGAGGAAGGGAAAAAAGGAAAGGAGGGGAAAGGAAAAAGGAAAAGAAATAATGGAAAAGGAAAAAAGAAAGATTTAGGCAAGCTTGAGTACCATTTCCTATTCTGTATTTGATAGGGAGCAAAGGCTATGATTTTGCAGGACCCTCCCAGTGTCATGTTCACTGGGATCACTACCAGCCCAGGGAAGAGACAGGAGGAGGCACAGCTGCCCTCTTGAAACAGGTGTCTGGCAGCTTGGACACAAAGGTCCATTCCAGCATACTGCAGCAACAATTATGATTATAACATCCTTCTTACCATAAATGAAGCATCACTTCTTAGATGCTTCTCTGTTTTCCATGCATCTATTTTTCTATATCTTTGGAAAGCAAGAGCCTCATGTCCTCTCAGCCAGCACGTGCCTAAGTGCACGTACATCTGCCCAGTATTGTTCATTGCCTGATAAATGAAGGAGCCTTTATTTTAGTTGCCTAAGCACTTTCTCCCTAGAGTGGCCTTGCATGGTGTCTCAACAGAACACCTCAACAAATATCAACAGCTCCAGAACTTATATGAAATTCAACCTGAATGGTCTTTGACCTACACAAAGCAAAATATTGGCTTTATTATTTATTGATTTTACATGATGCATTTATCTGTCAAGTTATGAATAATTAGTTATTAGCTAATTATAAATAGCTCTAGGATAAATTGCAATAAACTGCTTAACAGCGCCTGGCAGTCTAGAATTGAGTGTTTGCAACAGGGAACCCTTCTAGCCATTTTGACTTCTTTACATGAGGTAGGCTGTTAATCTCAGGGGGAGTTACAGAAATTTAACTAACAGCTTGTCCAAGATTTTTCAATTAAGAAAAAAAAAATTAGAACTCATGTTAACCGAACAATAATTCGAATAGATTGTGAAAGTAATTCACGACCCAAGAAATATATGAACCTTTATGGAATATTTAATTCCATATCTATTAATAGACAAAATAAACAACATTTTCTTCTTTACTACATATTGATGTCCTGTAAATTATGTCAGGTAATATGAAGTCAATTATTTGCAATTACTGAAAATTAGAAAGTCAGATCATGAAATGTGGGCCTGATTTTTCACTTAAAAACAAACACACAGGATGGATTTATGAAAGACCAAACCAAACAAAATAATTTTATAAAAAACAATGTATCTGATTTTTTTCAACAATTTTGGCCCTTGCTCTATGAACCACAGTGTTGTGGTTTAGCCCAGGCAGGCAGCTAAACACCATCCTACTGCTCGATCTCTCCTCCCCAGAGGGATGGGGTGAAAATCAGAAGGATAAAAGTGAAAAAAATTGTGAGTGGGAATAAA